ATCAACATTGCAGCCCTTTAAAGGAAATAGATTGTGTGGACCTTTTTCAATTAGGCCCAGGGCCAATTTTGGGATGGAGATGGCCTCCTGGATCACCTGTGTTGGATGGGGGAATGTGTGCTTCTCCTAGTCTTGCTAGATATTTTGGTGACTTTTAATACCAGCAGGAAACTGAGACAAGGAAGTACTGCTTTTTTTGTTGCAGCAACGAAGTTACAGAATAGCTACAATTTGGAATAGCCTCAATTTGGCTGGTCCTCTTTGTTGGTTTTCCACAAGCCCCTATAGCGTTGCTTTCCAAGTCTGGGTAAAGGTGATTTTTATTTGGATAGTGAGCCTTCCCCTGATTTGAGCCATTGCTGCAATCTTTTATTCTCTATTTTTGTAATGTTGTTTCATTTTTAATTTTTATTTAGGGTATGTTTTACATTGTATTTTTATATGAGTCACTGAGAGTCCTTTTTGACTGTGATGATATACAAGTGTTTAATGAATAATGCTGCTATAATTTGCTATTGCATAAAGGATTGTTGAGAAACATTCCAAACATAATAGGCACAGCCTTTATTAGGCTAATACAAAGGTCATTTAAACCATGTAAGCTTTTAAATAAGAAACTACTACACACACATAGTATATAAATAAATAAAAATAAAAATAATCTCCACTCATCTCTCTCACAGAAGAACTCTAAGCATCTTTTTTTTAAACAGATGGAGACAAAAAAGGCTGGTGTTGAAGTGGTGGAGACTGTATTTGGTCATAGTCTGAAGAAGAAATGTGCGTGGGGGAAACCACAAACATTCAAGTTAAGTTATTCCAACAGCAATGGTTTTAGGCTGCATTGAAACTCTGTCTTCTGAGACGAAAAAAGAAAGAAACTCATTGCAACATTTTTAAAGCAGTTATTCAGAATTACCTCAAAAACCCAGAAAACTCCTCAGTAGATGACAGAAGTTGAAAGGAACTACACTGTTTTTGTATTTTATATTATTTTAGATTAGTGTTTTAGCCAAAATAAAGAAAACCAGAGGCAAAGAGGAAAACAAGTACAAAGGATATACCTACCAAGAACAGAAGTCTCAGATTCAAATGATAGAAAATTATTTATTTCCAAGGAAAAATCCTCTTGTTGAGCTGTTAAATTCAGCTTTCTATCAGACCAAAGCCAAGAGTACCATCATAGTCATAAGAAGTATTCGAAATGTTATGTTAGAAATACCTTTATAAAGCCAACATGCAGTTTGCAAAATAATAACCAACATCCAAATATGAAAAATATTTTTACTCTCTATGTGTAGAAATGTGGTCACATTTAAAAATTAATAGCAAATCACCGACTACAAGAACCACAGGTTAGAATTTTGTATTTCTAGATCTTAAACCTGTCAGTTACTGCTATTCTCTATTTCCTTTGCTGAAGGGGCCATGCTTTTTAATTGTCCTGAATTAACAAAGTGATTAAAGATTGATCACAGAGTTGATTTAAATTCCCAATGCCGTATTGTAATGCTACAACCCATTTGGCCCTGATGATATCAGACCTCCGACATGAATTACATACAGTTCCGAAACCATCTTTGCTCTTGCCCTTCTGATTTATTCTATAGGAATCCAAGTTTAAGCATGTACTGTACTCTGCAGAAAACAATACAAAAAGTAGATTATAACATTTCCTGCTTAAATCCTGTTTTTACAAATTTTGCTCTTATGTCCTTGTTTTGCTTGTTGTTGCTTTCAATTCAGAGTTGACTCCTGATGATTGCCTGGACAAGTATTTTTGGCAAGTGATTTGCTTTTTAGGGCTTAGAGAAAGTCTCTGGCTCAAAATCACTGAGCTTGCTTTGTGCCGAAGTGGGACTAGAACTCTGTCTCCCAGTTTTTAATCCATTGCCTTAATTACTGCACCAAACTGGCTCTCCTTATATCGTATCCTTCTGATTTATTCTGTAAGAATCTAAGACCATGCATCTACTATATTTCAAAGGTGACCATATGAAAGTAATTAAAAATAACATGAGACCTATTTTCATACACATCCATCCTCTTTTAAGTATTATCCAATGTTACTTATTAGGGTACTATACCCAACAATAATAGTGTTTTCCTTTTTTCCCTTTGAAAGTTCATTAGTCTCAGCCATCCACTTAATATTTTCTTCTACAACTCGAGCAATGAACAGAATTCCTTTTTAAAATCTATTTAGTAGATAATTTCATCACATTGCATTATTTTGACAAAGGGCCATTGGCCAGGACATTTTCAACCCATCTGAGAAGCTGATCTTCAAAAGCCTTGATAATTTCATGAAATAAAGAACAGATCAAGTACAAAGCAGTGTGACTATCCCCGAAAGTTCCTTTAGCTAGAAATCGTCTAACAGTGTTCATGTGTTCATAAACCATAATTAAATTACTCATTATAGTTTTGGGAACTATGAAAGTTGGACAGTCAATAGCTTGGTCAGATTTTAGACACTGTCCCTTCTCCTATAATAGTGATGGCGAACCTGTGGCACACAGAGCCATCTCTGCCAGCACATGATAGGTCGCCTTGGATCAGGTCCATTGCGCATGCGCACGCGCCTCCCGCCAGCCAGCTGATTGTTGGATATCTGCCGTGCATATGGGGGGGAGGGGCATGCATGGGAGACACACGCATGTGCAGAGGTGTGCAGTGCGCAGGGTTGCGCATGCATGTGCAGGGGGCATGGGTTGTACACGCACTGCATTATGGGTGCAGGCACGCATACGCACTTTCGGCATGCAATGACAAAAAGGTTAGCCATCACTGTCCTATAAGATTCACTGATAGGCTTCTGCAAGAGGTTGCTGCTTTCATCAGAATGACAAAAGCAGCAGTACATTTGTTGTACAAGAGCCACCTGTTTTGTATGTGAATACAATGTCATATCACAACGCACATGAAAAAGGGCAGGTCTTGTGTCACAATGCCACCAGGCTGATTTTGCCATTCTGTCACTCTTGTGGCTATGTGCTTCCAGTTATTATAAGGAGAGGTGAGGCTTCAAACACACAAGTAAGAAAAATTGCACAATTGTTTTCAGACTGTGCCTCCTTAAGTGGATCAGACTCACAAAATTACAGCATATTACAGAAAAGCTCGGAAATCTAAACCTCTGATCCCGGTGACCGACCCAGATTGGATCCTGCATTACATCATCATGTGTTATGTAGAGCTTATGTTGGGCCATCATAATTATAAGCAAAGAGCAAATATCTTGAAGAACTCAAAACTGCCATTCACAAAAAGAGCAGCATCTTATAAATTATGAAGTATTTCCAAGGAATAATCATAAAAAAAGGAAAAAGCCCATCTGTAATTCATTTTTCTTTGCTAGCCTCTATTGTAGAAGCATTCCAAGACATCAGAGGAAAGTATAACTTAAATTTAAACGGACATCCATCATCCCCTTGGGCTCCTCTCAGCCAGTATCCCAAGTGACTAAAAGGAAGATTCACCCACCAGATTGTTCTTGTGTCATGCTCTACAGAACAGCTCTGCTTGCCAAGAACAATTAGGTCTGACTAAATCTACCTTTCACTTCATTAGGAATCTTAATTGCTCAGTTGCTAGGTGAAAAACTAACTTCTCCTGACATGCCATCAGTCCTACTAATAAAACCTAAACTGTAACAAAATGTGCTTAAAAATAGTAATGTTCTCAGGCCATCCAGGTCTGTGAAAAATATTAGTTACATTGGCCCTCAGATCTAAAATTCCCTATTTTTTATTTAAGGATTGCATTCCAAGATCTTCTGATTTATTTTCAAGTATATTGTACTGTACAAGGAAGATTTATTTTTACTGTGCTATGGTATTCAAATCAAAGAAAAAATATTTGCGTTTTAAATTAATCTGTAAGATTACCTAATGTCATAAAAAGATCTAAAGGATACATTGCATATTTTCTATTTAATGCAAAAGTCATAAGCAAGCCTTAATATTTTCTTTAATATTATCTGCCATTGATACAAAAGATGAAACAAAATCATTAGGACACATTGTAGAAAACAAAAGAAACAGAAGTAACCATGCAATTATGTAAAAAAAGAAAATACATTATGCCATGTTTGTTTTCACAAAAAAAAAAGAACCCAAAATGGAAATTCTTATTGTTAACCCTTTTTTACTGTAGGCCTTATGCATTCAACCGCTTTTGACTATATTGCAAACTCTTAATCTGTAAGGAAACTCACTATTGCTTCCATTATCAATATTTAACAACCTTCCTTTTTTAAGTCAAAGCCATTACTTTTGGACAAAGGTAGCAATTCTTTTTAAGGATGAGGTGCGCGCGTAGGTTTTTCGTTTTAAACGAGTATTTTAAAATTGTGGCCTTGTTTTATTCCAGAAAATACTATGGGCCTGGTTTTAATGCACTGAAAAACGAACACGTGTTGGCTGCAGCAAAGAGCAGGTCTGGTCTTTATTACGATGAGGGTTGCACCGAGTAAGATTTGTGTGTGTGTGTGTGTGTGTGTGAATCGCGCTCCCCCCCACCCCCCGTGCTCCAATTCCCGGGCAGGTAACATTCGCATCTCGGAAACCAACGGAACCTTCACGATTCTCTCCCTTCCTCCATTTTCGCCAACTAATGAGAAAAAAGCGTTCATATTTTCGTGGCTGGGAGAAACGGCTTTTTTTCCCCAAAGCCCTAATCCTTATGCAATATTAAATGTCGGTTTGAGGCCCTGGAGCTTAATTAAGGTTGCTATTGTTACTGTGTCCTACGCACTTCGTTTCTCACGAAGCTCGGCGTTTTCTTTCCCACCAGCCTCCTCTTTCTCCAAAAGCGAGACTGGGAGCAAGAGACTTGGTTTTGGGATTTGCTTTTTGAAGAAACGGAATTCTTTATTGGCACATCGCAAGACCCGCAGCTGCGCTCTTGCAAACAAAAAGAGGGGAAAGAAAAAGCCGCCCTTTTTTGCTGCTGCTGCTGCTGCTGCTGCTGCTGCCGCCGCCGCCGCCGCTCCTTACCTCCTCGGCGCGCAGGCAGAGGCAGACCAGGATCCCCCGCGTCCCAATTCCTGCCGGCGACCAAAAAACCCGCTCCTTTCTGCTCCGCGGCGCCTCACCATAGTCCCGAATTTGTCGGCCAGCAGCATCTGCTCGTAGAGCCACTCATCGTCGCTCGGTTTTCTCGGGCTGGCGACTTCCGAGCTTGCCCGCTCAGCTCCGAAGGAGAAGCCCTTGCTTGCTTCGGACTTCCCACTCCCACCCTGAAAATTGTCACTTTCGCACCCAGCTACCCACCCCGCTACCACGCGCTGCAGCGCTGGGAGGGCGGGGGAGGTAAGCTGCAACTCAGCACGCGCAACAGCCGCCCGGGCTTTTCTTTTTTTTCCCTCCTCCTCCTCCTTTTATCTTTTCCTCCCACCGTCTCCCGCCCGCCAAAGGCGAGGTCCGGAGCTCCTCGTCTGGCCAGGGAGCTCTACTTCTCGGGACAAGCGGAGCAACAGATTGGAGAGGGTGGGGAGGTCAGCGTTGTCAGTCGAAAAGCAGAGCAGCTGTTTCGAGGAGTCTCGGGAGCAGGAAATGCCACAAGACTTAAATCCAACCACGTCAGGAAGAGCGCGCGCGCCCTTGTGTGTGCGTGTGTGTGTGAGAGAGAGAGAGAGAGAGAGAAAGGGGTGGTAAATAAAATCCGGGTGGGATTATTATGTTCTGGAATGGATCTCTCTCTCTCTCTCTCTCTCTCTCTCTTTTTATAAAGCCGAGGCGATTTTAATCGCGTAACTGTGAAAGAAGGCAGGACTTAGCCGAAACGAAAATAAACGTTGGTCATTCAATGTCTGACAGGAACATAAATACTGAGTCAAGGTTTTGTTTTGTTTTTTAAATTTATTTTGATGTTTTTCCTCGTCTGGGAAAACGATTTCCTACAGCCAGCGGGAAGTGGGGAGAAAAAAGGAGCTTTCCTCTGGGCTGCCCTTCCTCAGAGCCTCCCTCTGTTCTGCTTCCAGGGCTTGGAAGCCCTCAGAAAAGAAAATAGGAGTAGAATCAAGCAAATAAAGGACTTGCTACCCTCTACCGGACAAACAAGGTCGAAAAGCTGGTCCCGGTTAAGAATAACATGAATGGAAACGCGATGGTTGTAGAAACAGAAGATTGTGTCCCGGAACCACGGGGAAGTCCTTCCGCAAAACGCTTGCTTTGCAGCGTCTTTCGAAAGGCCCCCGCAAGCAGGCGAAAGGCCCCCACGCGTGTTGGTGACTTGTGGGAGAAGAAAGTGCCGTTGGAAAGCTCGAATGCTTTATCGAGGATATTTCTCCGATGATGTTTGGAATTCAGCCTCATCATGGGGAGTCTTCTAGACAGAATTCCTAAAATTATCGGAGAAAAAAGGCATTGTGTAGTTGTTCAGATTTCTTTCTCGTGTTTTTTTTTTCTGGAAAGAAAAAAAAAATACAAGGTGAAAGAAATAGTGGGGAAATGCATGGAAGGAAAAAAGTGAAAACCCTCCCTCCTATTCCGAGGGACACGACAATGCTGAAAAGGGACAGGCCAATAACCTACTGTCATCAGTCATATCCTGCGTGTACCTGAGAAAAGCTTATTTGGAAATACCAGCTACTTACAGTATAGTATTGCAAATGCAGGATGAGCAATAGGTAAGTTTGCAATTTCAAGATGATTGGTTATGTTTTTATTTTCTTGTTCCATATTGCATTTAAAACTTTTTGGAATGCAGAGGAGGGCCTATGTCTTGAAAGATGCTTTCAAGTTGCAACATCAGTTTATTTCTTGGAGTCTGCTGGGAGAAGTTGTATGCTAACTATATAAGTAGCAAGAAAATCAAGGCGGTTAGCATTTTGAAATCTGAGGAGAATTGAATACAAAATAGACCAGATCGTGTGCTCGGGGAAATTCATCTTGGGAAACTATAAATAACACCATGATCCTCCAGTATTGCATGAAGCCCCAAATGCCTTTATGGATCTCCCAACACTGAATATGTGGCATATTTTTTATTTTGAAGTAGGCAAATACTACCGTTGCTTTAAAATAGGCTTATAAAACAAAAGTCTAAACAACCACAAAACCACAAAAAAGCAGAAAATCCCAGTTCAACTTGCAGCAGCATCCCAACCACAGTGGCACATGTGATCTCTGCTCCCTTCTCCTGCCGATTATAGAGGAAAAAGGACTGGCTTCTTTCATTTTAATCTCATGAAATATGCAGGAGCAAAGTAACTTCTCAGGAGAGCAGTTTCTTGAAAACATTTTCATTGCAAGAAAAGCTACTCAAGGAAAGTGTTGTATCTAAGTAAGCACCGCAATACTAAATTCTAGTATAGCTATAGTTAGAATGATTAACAATGGACTAGAACAGGGGTGTCAAACTTGAGGCCTGCAGGCCAGATCCGGCCTGCAGGGTGGTTAAATCCGGCCCACAAGGCCGGCCTGGAAATATCAAAAGACCGGCCCACAGTGCCTCTGGTGGCTAAAATGAGCTGTGTGAAACACACACAAACACATACACACACACACAGTGCCTCGTTTTCACCCTCCATGGTCTGCAGCACTCTGCCGGGCAAAAACGGGGCCAAAAACAGCCAGCAGAGTGCTGCAGGAGGCCATGGAGGGTGAAAACGTGCCAGGGGGGGCAGACCCCTCCCATGCCCCATTTTGACCAACAAGTGCTGCAGGAGGCATCCGTCACGCCACCTCCTCCAGCCCACGGAGAACTACAATGCTGATCCAGCCCTCGAAGAAATACAATTTTAACACCCCTGGACTTTCCAACTCTGTTATTCTGTTACACAGCTTGGCCCCTGCACATAATTTAAATATAATTTTGAAATAATGCAATCTAGGATCACTACTTCAATGATACAATCATGGCCCAACAATTTTCTTGGAAATCATTCTGCATGGAGTAGAAATAAAGTTACAAGTATTGCCTAGATTAGCTCTGACATTCTTACATCTTCCACCAGATGGAAAGATAACAGAGGAACCAACTTAAGATCATACTTAAAACAGAAAAAGTCATGGTATGGTGTTTTTACTAGTGAAGATGAGATAGAAACTGGAAATATTGACTGCCAACTACACCTTTATCCATGATTAACGAATGAAGCTGCCGATGGGGAGGGGAAAACCTTAATCCAATGGTTTTCAAACTTTTCTTTACCACGGAACCCCTTTAAATACCTTTTGTGGCCAGGGACCATGACCATGGAGCACCAAGACTTCATTCAAATTTAAACCATAACATTTTTTCAAGGCTTTGTGGATCCCCTGTGACCCCATCGTGACCCGCAGGGGTCTGCGGATCACAGATCGAGAACCACTGCCTTAATCTATTTGCATAATCTGCAGAGAATAGTCCCATACTTTTCTTCTGGACCCAATATAAATATTTGCAACAAAGCAGATATTTCTTGCATGAAAGGTTTTACTTCTTCTGAAAAGTACACCGTTTTTTAACCCTTCTATTTCAGTTTCCTTATCTTTCTGGGCATTCAGGAGTGTACCAGGTGCTGCATATTGATATCCTTCAAATGCTTGTCTGGGTTCCTGGGACAAAAATACACATTTTTCTGTACAGCTTGACAGCCAAACGTTTGGTCTACATTCTGCAGCTAAAAATGCTTGCAGAATAACCAGTAATTGAACTAAACAACTGAAAGTGAAATATATTATTAATTCAATAAAAAGGAGAAGTCATTTTGCTTAGACCCATCAAAGCAAGTACAGGGTGTTGGGGATATTAAAATGTCAAGAAGACAGTCAGAGTGACACTATAAAAGCCTCAACCATTTTATATGCCTTTCAGCTGCTATCCTGACTTTTTTTTAACCTCCTGTGGACCCTCCCCTGACTACAAGACAAAAGAATATCAGGCAGTAAGGTTAAGAATTATCAGTACATTTTCTGAAGAATTTTCTTAAACGAAAATTAAATCTGACTGCATTTCAAATCCAAATGTATTAAAAGCACTGGAAATGATCAGTAAAAAGAAGTTGACCGTCAGGCTTACAAATGTTCAAATATAAAATATGGTTTAAACTATTCTGCTTGACTTGAAATTGCTTTACATAAAATGTTAATTTTTAGAAAAAGAATCTTATATTCTATACCTATGTACTGATTTTATATAGATAGTCTCTTGCATAATCTACTCTTACTTTATTGACCTTTGGCTGTTTTTAATTTTACCTATAAAATTTAATGGGAAATTAACGAGACCTATAAATTAATGGAAGTTATTGCTGTAATTTCCCCCCTCTGTACTGAGGTAACACACACGCGCAAAAAAGCCATCTAAGGCTGCATAAAGGGATAAGACACTGTAACGTTAAATCAAGCTTAATACTTGTCTCATGGTAACTGACACAATGAGACCTCTGCAATCAAACTTATATTGATTAAACAATAAAAGGATACTCTCCGATACCTAAAATAATTTATTCTCATTTGCCCGACTGAAAAGATTTACTCAATAAAGCAGGTGATGCATGCAACAGCTTCTCATGTCTAGCCCACCCATCCACGCGTAATTCAACCCTGAATGAAATACGAATCTTGTGTTTCTACCTTTAAATGCTTTCGGATGAAGCTACTGGCTAAGATGCTTAAAGGCATCATTCAGCAAAGTGAACTCTGTAAAAGGTGTCAGAAGTTGTGTCTCTTCTGATGGCACAAGTGAAATGAAATCCTGACCTAGGTAGCTAAGAGGTTTGTTTTACGGTTCAGAAAACAGGCAATGGCACAATTATATTGGTTTCCTAATTGCAAAGTTGCCATAGGTCTCTCAAGTAATTAAAGGAACAAAGAAAAAAGTCACAAACAACTTTCAGTATCCCAAAAGAGAAGAGTTCGCTCTTGAGGATTACACAAACCAGTCCTTTTCTAAGACCTTAGGAAAAATTTAATACTAAAATTAAAAAGTCGGATCAGATTAAATACTCTATTAGTTAGTATTCTGTAACTTCTGTCAAGCTTAGCCACACAGAATTTTACAAAAGTGCAAAACATTGCAGCTGATCTTATAAAACTGCAAAAATCAACACATCTGTGTTTTGGAAACTAAATGTGGTATTATAGTGTATAAAAACAGCTTGCCTGTAAATTCTGCCTACAGGTTAATAAAATAAAAGATTTCAGCTAGGACATTTTTTATTTATTTTTACTATTTAGATATTATTTAGATACTAGGCTCACACATGGAACTAAAATTAGTATTTTGTATCATATTACACTCCAGTAAGATCTGTTTACATTTGGCAGTATAAATGGATTTTGTTATGCCTAATTTCCATTTTTTTTTCTAAATTAAAAGCTCTTCCCCCAGATATACATGGTAATTTCAATTTATCACACCAATTAAATTTTTGTTTTATTTCTAGACATAGAATTACTGCAAATAAAACCATCACATGAGATGTAAAACTGAGTAATACATATGCTGACCTTGAGAAGACTCACTGCCCCTTAACTCGGTAATCCCATACAGCCTCAGGACCAAATATAGATACAGAGAGAGTATTATAAATGTATAAGAACAGCTGACAATACTTATAATCATTACTTGGTTAATTATT